TTTTCCCCATAATTTGAAGGATATCCTTTATTAAGGGAAAAGAGAACTTGTCTAAGAGGTAATAAAGCTGATCCTAGTAGCTAGAGAATTTCAGTCTTGTTCCAGTTCACTGTTCTCCCCCACAACTAGTGGGATCTTTTGTGAGTCCACAGCCATTCCTGTGCAGCTATCCTCCAATAGTGGCCATTGCCATTGTCCCAAATAATGGTTGGCTCTAATTCTAGGGTGGGATTAGTCTTGGGTTCATACCTTGCATGTATCTGGAGGATGCACTCACCCCACAGCCTTTTATGGTGGAACTAGACTCCACAATTTCCCCCAAAGGTATACAGTATTCCTCTTCACTTACTATTTTGATATAAAGAGTTCCACTGGCTTCCACTTAGTCTTTTTTCCAGAATGATTCCAACTCCTAAAATCAATGTAGAAATTTTGCTACTTGCTGAGCATGTATTTCCACTATACACATAAACTGGAGGAAGAACCACAGGGTGGGTCACCTAAACATGAGCTAGATTCCAGACAAAGTGCATCTCCCACCTGGACTTTATAAGCTTCTACTCTTTGCAGCGGACTGCAGTAATACCCAAAGTTCTCAAGAATCATAACTTCTCAGACAGTATCTGAGAGCCCCTGTAAGCTTCCTATATTTTCACTGAGTAAACAGCCATCACCTTTTGGGGAAAAGCTGTGACAAAGGCTCTTAATATGTATGATGTCCTATCTGAGTTCTCCCACAAGAATACTGACCTCCCTGTATTAGAGATTGAGGTCTGTGAACTGACTCAGGCTGGGATTTAGATGAGAGACTGAATCTTTGAGGGCCACAAATCTTCAATTCCTATAACCCAATTAAAAAATTAAGGGAAGAGAATGAATGCTTTTGTGTTCCAAGCACTTAAATGAACGTGACTAGTCATAACCTCCAAACTCCACAATGGGTGGGACTAGAAGGGAAAACAGCTTTGGGTTCCAAGAGAGGCCAATGTCTAAACCCACCCTGAGGTGATAGAACTCTGGAGGAGAATGGCAGTGTGGGGTAGAGGGGTGAGGGAGGAGGCAGGCTTGAAAGACCTCAGCCTTAAGGGTTGCTTAGATACACCACAGAGTCTGGAGAGCATGTGGGTGTGCTTGGCACGGAAGCTGTGGAACTGTCAGTAAAGGACTCCTCTTTCAAGGAAACCGCCCCCCAGCCTGGTCAAAAGTGCAATTTAGCAATAGTACACACATCAGAGGACCACTCCAATGGCAGTACCATGAGGCAGAGGCAAATGGCAGCATATAGGGCACAAAGTAAAAAATTACATGAGAGTAAAAGATTGGTATGTTCCCCTTTTTGGATTGTGTAAGCTCTCAAGAGCTCTTGGAAGATCTGGTGAGGGAGAGGTACAAGAGTTTTATACCAGGCTTCCCAACATTATGACATGTGAGGACTCAAGCTAATTGTGGCAATAGGGAAGAAGTAAGTACTTGCACCCCAAAGGTCTACAGCAGGACATGCCTGTTGCAGTAGGAAGAACACTAGACTGTCCAAAATCCTGGTCCAGCTCTGCCATTAGGTCACTCTGTGATTATAGTCAATTTATTCAGCCTTTCTTGGTTTTGGGGTTGGATAGCATGAGTGCTTCCCAAGCTTTGCCCATCAAGGGGCCCAAAGAGCCTTATGGGGGTAGCTGATTGAGAAAATATATTTGTACCAAGTGCATTTAGAAATTCTACCCACTTGCCCTGATTCTGATACCTGCAGGTTGCAAAACCATTGATTATAATAACAATGAATATAAGAGCTGATACATTGTCCACTCACAATGTACTATACATGCTCATGCTTTACAAACATATTATTTAATTCACACAAATACTCTGAGGCAACATTTCCATTTTACAGACAAGGAAACTGAGGCTGAGAGGAGTTATTGATAAACAGTTTCTCAAGTTTATACAGCAAAAGAGTGAATGTTTGAGCTTTAAATTTGTATCTTTCTCAGAATCTAAACTCATAGCAACTACATTTTACTGCTACTATAGAGTTTCCAGCTCTAACATTTTAAAATTTCACAGAATTCCTTGTTCTTGAAAAGATGGGAGGTGCAATAGAGGTGAACTTAGGAGATATGGGTCAATTCTGGATTCTACTCTGTAGGGTCAGAATGAATTTGGGATTCACTGGGACCAGCCTGTGCATTCTTTCAGTCAACAAGTACTTAGTCCCTTCAATGTAGGAAGCACTAAGCCAAATGTAGTCACAAAGATGAATTATCATTGAACTTCCTCTTGAGAGCTCATGGTCTAGAACTTGACAGGAAAACCAGGACTTCAAATCCATGGAGTGAGAAGTTAGGAGTGAAAGGAGTTATGATGCATGTCTGTCTGTTTTTCTCTTAATGGGGACAAACAAGCAATTAGAAGACAAGGCAAGGGACATATTGTCCCTTATTCAGAAACAGTAAAATGTGATGACAAAGGTCCTCGATCTGCAGTGAAAAATACCTGATCTTAAATTTTAGCTCTTTCAGGTCAGATGGAGGCATCTTTGCTGGGGGTCACATTGAGTTGCAAGCAGCATCAGGGAGTCAACAACATGGCAGAAGACTTCAAGACTAAAATCAAGAACTACAAGACTACCCTTTTGACAGCTGCTCCCCCAACCAGAACCAGACCTGAAATTACTGGCAGAAATACCCAAAATTCCACTGCTGTGAAAACACAATGACTGCTAAAGGGGGTGATGGTTCCATGTGCTAAAGGGGGTGATGGTTCCATGGTACCAGCATGTATGCCAGTCCCTTTGCCCCATATCCTGGTTTTCAGCCTGAGATGACTACTGGGAAGAAGATATGTTTCCTAGGAAAATCTAAACTGGCTGTATCCCACCTGTCCTCTGTCCTCATCCTTCTCCCAGGGAGGTGAAGGGGCACCTGGGTACATCCTACCCTAGAATCCTGAATTATAGCTTAACTAATAATAAATACTTATTGGAAAAGTGTGAAAAAAAATTTGGCTCCTTCTACTTGTGAGATTTTAGATGATGTCATCTCCTGGAACCTCCATTTGCTCCTCTGGAAAATGGGAAGAATAAGAGTTACCTACCTGTATTAGTTTCCTGAGGCCAGCTTAACAATACCACAAACTTGGTAAAAACAGCAGAAATTTATTATCTCACGGTTCTGGAGGTCTGAAGTCTGAAATCCAGGTGTCAGCAGGGCTATGCTCCCTCCAAAGGACATTGGGGCAAATCCTTCCTTGCCCCTTGTAGCTCTTGGTGTCTCCTAGTAGTGTCATGTAGCCAACCACCCTTCTCCACGTGCCTCCTTCTCTGTATCACTGTGTGTCCTTTTTGTCTCTTATAAGGACACACATTGGATTTAGGGCCCACCCTAACCCAGTCTGATCTCACCTTAATTGACCCTTCCTCAATTATGTTCACAAAGATCTTATTTCCAAACAAGGTCACATTTTTATGTTCCAAATGGACATGAATTGGGGGGGACACTATTCAACCCAAATAATAGGACACTACCCTACCTTACAGACTGTTGTGGGGAAGAAATGATATAATGCATGGAAAGAATTCTGCACAGTGCTGGGCACGTAAACACAATAAATGTTAGTTGTACACATGTACGCATATATAACTGTTCTGTTACTAGTTTACCAAAGGCTTATTTCATTATTTATTTCACCAAAAGAAACGGTAACTTTCAATATTCTTTGCTCTTTATGAGTGTTCTAATTTGGTTGTTTCTGATGTTATCATATTATTTCCTCCATTTTTCTTTTCTTTAGGTTTGTGGTTGTTATTCATATTTGTCTTTCTCTTTTTCTCCAAAAATGTCCTGGACGTTTGGGTACATAGTATCCATTTCTCAGTAGGCAGTCTCTTATTATATTGGTGATTTTTCTCCAGTGAACATTTTATTTTTTCTCAGGCAAGTATTTTGATCATCTTGTAGAACTGGGTGAGCTTTTTGTTTGTTGTTAAGAATGGTCATCTTCCATAAATGATGCATAGATTCTTACAGAAAAGATACACCCTCTATTTACAAGGGGTGACGTTTAGAATGTGTCTTTTTATCCTTTTTTATTCTTTTTTATCATTATACTCACATCTTCCATCCAAATGTCCTTCCTGGGGAACACATGTGTATTATGCCACATTATCTATTTCTTTAGGAAATCTTTGCAGATCCGACCCACCCCACACCCACAACTCATCCCCATCTGGAGTGCAGTGAGTGGGCCAATCCATGTTCTGAACAGGCCTGGATCCTAACCCAGACCCAGAGACTGCAGTGGGCTTTTCAGCAGGGTCCTGAGATCTGTGATCCAGAATTGATTCTTACTAGCATCCAAACTAGATTCTAGATTGGTCTCTGAGCTCCAGACAGAGTTCCAATGGGTCTGGCTACATGGGAGACAGATTGAGTTGGCCTACACCCTAAATACTTATACTAAGCTGGACTCAAGCCTTAACTAGACTCTGGATAAACAAGATCAAACCTGGAATTTTCTTCCTCCCCAGCAGTGCCCATTTCTGAAATGAAAGGCAAGCCAATGGGCATGTGAAAAGAAATATGGGACTATTTATTACAAAGCTAGATTGGAAGCTCAGGAAGCAAGGAAATAGAACAGAAGGCTTCTCTGTAACAGAGGACTCAGGGCACAAGAGGACCAAATAAGGGGATGGGGAAGTGAACTGCTATATATAGAGAGCCCCCTTTTCCAACTGCTTCTCTGTTCCTGGGACTGTCTTTCTGATACATGCTAGCTACATGTTCCCCAGGTTGAGGGCTCTGATGAGCACAGGGGAATTCCCAGAACCTACAGCACTCTGAGGACCTAGTAGCAGTCTGTTCATCTGAGAAGCCAGGCCTCAGTCTGGGGAAGAAGTTGATTGCTCCTCTGGGTCTGTGCAACAATAGGAAATGCAGCTTCCCTGTCTGCAGGCCAGGATGGGTCTGCTGAGGGCACCAGGGCATCAGGAAGTCCACCATCTCCGTTTAGCATCCCTTTAGGATGAGGCGAGTTTTCCCATCTCCAATAAAGAACCTACAAAAACAATGGCCCAGTGAGGTCTCTGAGACCCTGAGAGAGAGTCACCGAGCCCTTCATCAACATCTCCAGGCCCAGAGTTTTCCAGAGAGATGCCTTCCTGAGCCTTCCCAACCTCAATGATTGGATCCCCTTGGGGAGAGGGAGAAACCCTTTTCTGTTTAGTGTCCAGTCCTTTTCCTAAAGATGCTCATTCCTGCTATTATGAAAGCAGCAGAAAGAATAATCAGTGGCACTTCTCACTAATCCATAGGCTCAGCCAACACTGCCAAGTGGTGGTGATGCAGGGATTCTAGATCAGCCCAGCCCAGTAACTATCCTCTCCCAAGACAGCAGGAGGTAGACTCAGCATGTGTCAAATCTAGACCCTATCCCCTCACAACCTGGAGCAGGAAGAACAGGACCCTGCAGATACTGGAGGCTCCCAAAAAGATTGCCCAAGGAGAAGCAGTCAAGTAGATATTATCCCTCTGGTAACATCACCTTGTTATCCATTACAGAAATCTACAAAACACTGTCCATATTGTATTTTATGTAAACGACATCCCTGATGTGCATGCTCATGGGGGCACTATGTTCATAGTTTTCTATATGAGTAGGGCCCCCTGGAGTTGGACATCATCCCTACTCTTGGACCATGCCCCAAATCCAGGATTAGGCTTATGGTCCAAATATAGCCAGTAGGAGTGCCTGACCCCATGTCCACAGTGACTGATTCAGAGGTAGGTATGACCCAGCTGAGCTAGTCCAAACAGTGAACATCAGACCCAAGATCAGCTACAGCTGTTGCTCTGTTTCCTCTGCACCTGGTAAGCATCTCTGCCTCTATTGGGGAGCCTGCCTAAGCATGAAGCCAACACAGAGGACAGAGTCTATGAGGAAGGCTGAGTCCTGAGACATTGTTTGGGCACCTACCTGAAACCAGTGCTACCTGTGTATTTTTCAATTATGTAAGCTAATGAATTCTCCTGTATGACTTAAGTTATGTTGAGATGGATTTCTGTCACTTGCAATCAAAGCTTCCAGAATCATATTTGCCTCTGAATAAGGCTTCCTCTTCTCGTCTACAAACCCAAGTGAAATCCTAGTCTTCTAGCCTTGGACACCATGGGAACTATCACCAGATGGCCATCAGATAGTGCCCCTGTGTCACATTCCTACCTGATGAACACTCCCACAAGCAGGCTGGCCAGGAGTGGGCCCAGCCAGTAGATCCAGTGGAAGTCCCAGTGGTTGGCCACCACAGCAGGTCCAAAGGCACGGGCAGGATTCATGCAGGTTCCAGATATAGCACCCCTGCAAACACCCAGCCACATGTCACCAGGATTCCAGCCAGGCACCTACTCACTTCAGGTTCCTTTCCCCAACTAGGCCTAGGTCACTCACCTCCCCAAAACCCTCCTTATCATGGGGTTCTAGAGGCTTACAAAGAAGACACAGGTAAAGAGGCTATTAGGATTGGGTTTACAGTCTTCCACTCTGCACACCCCTTCTAGAAGAATTTCCAGAAGGAGTGCCTGCTCAGGGATGGTGGGAAGAGAAAAAAGATAGATTTTCTCTCCAAAGTTGATAAAGCAAAGTCAAGCAGTTGTCAATCATGTGAACTTTGGAATCAAGTGGACCTAGATTCAAAACCTAAACCAGCTGTCTCTAACTGTGTGAACTTTGTCTAACCTTTCTGTATTTCAGTTGAGGTGAAAATATCTATCTCATGGATTGTCAGTGAGAAAGCACATATATAGCCCATGCCTCACATATAATGCATATACAGGTGTTAAATCTAGTTGTTCTAGCACCTCCTATGGGGAGACTGTGGCCCAGGTGCACCTCTCTACTTCTGGAATCTAAATCTTTGTCCCATTCACTCAAGTTGGGGTTCTGCAGACTTGGCCCCTCACCAGATCCTGCATCCAGTAGCCATGAGAATGGGCATGCAAGGAAAACAATAGCCACTAGGGGGCAGCAAAGCATCGCCACAGCTTTCCACACACGTTCAACAGATCCTCTCTGGCTTCTCCTTCCTGCTCCCAAGAATGAAATGGAGTTGGAGGGCAGAGCCAGGAAATTGTGTCAAAGAGAAAAGAAAGAGCTGGACATTAGGGAGGGGCTCCCTCATCCTCTTTAGCAGGAGATTTGGGCTCTGGTCTCAGATCCGTCACTTAACTTGCTGCTGCAAATTCAGTAAGTTACTTCTGTCTTCTCTGAACCTCAGTTTCCACTTACATAAAATGAAAGAAATAACACCTCACCCAACCTTATCTCTTTAATCCCCTTCCAAACATACTAACGAGCTCAACATGGACAAATACATCCTGCAGAAATGTTTTACTGATGCTACAAAACTAATTTCACATAAAAATCCAGTTTTCTGACTTTCTTGGAATGAAATTAGAAGGTTCCCTTCAGGCTCACACTCTCACATAGCAATACACTCCCAAAGGCAAATGGTGGTACCTCCAAAGATACCACAGTCCTCATCACTCCCTATTGTCTGCCTAATGCCAGCCCATTTCCCCCATTTGTATTACCTTCCTGGCCCACATTGGCACTGAGTCTGTGTCCCTCAAGTAAGTTCTGCAGGCTCCACCTCCAGAGCCAAGGCTGGGCTCAGGGCCAAGGACTCCAGTCCCATAGCCAAGGGGCACTCACCCTGCCAAAATATCCACAGTGACGGAGAAGCCAATGGAGAATGGGGCCAGGGGGCCCTGTGTCTTCTTGTTGATGCAGCCCATGCAGACAGCCAGTGCCAGCAGTACAGTCAGGACAATCTCTGCCACCACTACCCCCGCCACCTGCCCTGGCTCCTGAACTGTCACAAAGGCTGCCCCAGATGCATTCCAGAATCTCTCTTCTGGACTCACCACCTGAGGAGAGAAGCCACTCAGCCCCACAGTGAGGGTGAAGAGGTGGCCAGGATCCGAGGGGAGGAACCCACAAAAACATACCCTGACCACTAGTGATCCCACTCCACTCGTTTTTGCCATATGGCAATGTGTGAGCTATTGAACTCCTCTGAGCCTGATTTTGCTCATCTGTAAATGGGGGTGACCAGTGGTGGCTCCAGTAGGTCTCAAACCTATGTAACTTAGATGAACCTCTTTCAGAAAGAAAATATAAAAATACCATATTTTACAAATTTCACAAACACACATGACCAGGTCAACACATTATCAGCCCATATAAGGGGCAAGGGGAAGCTTGAGGCTTAAGCTCCATTGGTTTCAGAGAAATCAGCCTCAGGGGTCATCACAGCTCCTGGAGCAGGAAGACAGCAGAGCAGACAAGGTTCTGGATCCCAAACCCAAATCCGGCCCTGCTGCTCAGCAGCTCATCCGAACTTGGGCTAGTTACCGACTTCTCTGTGCCTCCATTTCCTCTTCTATATGGGGATAATAATAGCTCAGTCCCCAGGGAGTGAGCGTCCTCTAAGGACTTGTGAAATTGTTGAGAAATGAAATGAGAGAAGATATGTAGAGTGCTTGGCAGAGAGGGTGTGTTTAGTGAGTGGCAACTACTGCTTTGTACCAATCACTGTCAGGTTTGACAAGTTTGCAAGTGGCCCAACCAGAGGCAGTCTGAAAACTGCTTTTCACCAAGGATCAGAGCAGAAAGGTACAGGCAGAGAACAGGGTTTTGAATGGGGGCATTGGGAGACCAGGGCAGGGAAGAGAGCATAATGGACTTTGAAACAAAGGTCTACAATGGCCCCGAGCTTAGAGTCACAGGCCCAGCCATGCTAACAGGGCGGCCCCTCCCCCACTGCTACACTCCTCACTCACACACATGCCAAGCAAGGCCTACATCTTGAAAGTCCTGGTTGGACTGACATTTCAGGGCAGCAAACAAGAAAGAAAGAATGAAAGAGAGAAGAGATGCAGGAAGGAAAGAGGGAAGGAAGGAGGGAGGGCATCCACCCATGGAGTTATGTGTAGAGCTCTGAAAATTCCAGGACAAAAAGGAAGAGGTAGACTTCCTGTTGGGATGGGAGGATTCCAAACATAAATTGAATATTAACTTCCTTCAAAGGCAGAGAACTTGGTTTAAATGGGAGTGGGGGCAAGCTGGAGAATACACAGTTCAGTCAGTTCAAGAGTTTTTCAAGAAGAATAACCATATTTACCTTGTATCCCAGTCAGTGCTTACTGAGACGTTTGTAGAATAAATGAACAAGTGAATGAACAAATGAATGAATGCACATGCGAAAAAATATTAGAACTAGCAAATCCACTCCAAAGCCAGAAATGGACTTGGGAAGAAAAACTTCTAGTCCTGAATTCTGCTTCCTGATCTGTCCTGGTTTGTCCAGACATGAAGACAATAGGTGGGTTTGTAGCGAATCAAAGGCCCTTGGAGTATCCGCCACCCGAGTAGAGAAGGGTCCACCCAGTCCCACTGGAAAATACAAGAAAAGTTTGACAGTCCCCCTCCTTGCCCCCAGCACCCCCATCAGAGCAGAAACCACCAGCCTAGCCCACCACTGGGGGTTACCCACCTTGGCCAGGGTGGCCCCAATCAGCCCTCCACACAGCTGGGAGATCCAGTAGGGAAGGAGCATCATCAGGTTAAGGCCTCTAATCAGCATGGCCTCCAGGGACACGGCAGGGTTAAAGTGTCCACCGCTGTCAGTCACAGAAGCAGAAGGTCAAGGTTCAGGCTGTGGCCAAGGGTATGTATGCATCCCAACAAGCCATCTAGGCTGGCCTTGCACTGCTAGTCAGGCAAGGGCTCAGCCCAAGTAGAAAGAGGCACTAGTGGGGCTAGGGACCTTGCTGGAGCCCAGGAGGGGAGAACAGCCCAGTCCCTGGATGCCCCAGTATACCCAGAGGAAGAGCACCTCATCTCCTTCCAGGCTCCCTCAGAGACCCCTTCCAGCCCTTCAGAGATGTGGCCACAGGTTAGAATGAGACCTCAGACTCCAAATTAGTAGCCTAAGAGAGGCATCTGGTTTCTTTCCCCTTGTAAGTACCATCTTTTGCCATGTATAATATGCTCCCATATATAATGCACACTCAAGATTTTGGACCAAACTTTTAGGAAAAAAGTCCTTTGTTTTAATTTTTAACTCAAATTTTCATTTATTTATATTTAAATAAATGAAAAAAAATATTTGTTTTTTATTATAAAGGAATTTTAGCATTTGTTTTTTAACATATTATGGTATAAGACATTTTATGTAATAAATAATTACAAAACACAAGAATAGATACAAGGTATTTCAGGTACTACCCATGTGTAATGTACATCCTTGTTATCACCTCAAAAATTGGGGCAAAAAAGTACACATTACACATGGCAGAATATGGTAACTGAGCCTTGAACAAATGATCTTGGTTGGTTGAACTGCTCAACCAATAAAAATCCTATTTTATTTTTATTGAGGTACTATTGACAAATAACATCTTAGTTTCAGGTGCACAATACAATGATTCAATATTTGTATATATTGCAAAATGATCAGCACAATAAATCTAGTTCACATTTGTCAACACACATACAGAATTTTTTTCTTGTGATATTTTTTAAGACCTACTCTCTCAGCAACTATCAAGTATACAGGATAGTATTATTCACTATAGTCACCATACCAGAACTTACTTATTTTATAACTGGAAGTTTTTACCTTGTGACACCCTTCACCCATTTCACCCCCACCCCATGCCTCAGGCAAACCCCAATCTGTTCTCTATATCTAAGAGTTTGGAAAACCCCTGTTTTGAGGCTGAATGTGTAATTAGTGTTGAAGATAAAATAGAGAGTAGAGCTTTAGGTTGGATGTGGCATTGAGAATCAGGAGAGAGGTTAGAAGTTCACAATAGGGTTTGGGATTGGGACCTAGAGCTTGGGATGTGAAGGGGGTGGATGGGTATACAATGTCAAACCTAGGGCCAAAGGGCAGGTTCAGGTTGGCTGGCCTCTCCACTGGCCATGGGTAAAGAGCCTTCCTTTCCACCAAGATGCTCAACTAGTGAGGACTCAGAGCCAGCAGGCCCCCAACACCCTTCTACCTGTGTCTGCATCCCATTTAGTCTTGCTATCTTCAGAGGATGGCCCATTAAATTCCTCTGGTGCATGGAGTAGAATGGACACCCTCATAAGAAGAAAAATGACCCCAAGATGTTAAGAGTCCACAGTGGATCTGGCCTCAGTGGATACAAGGCATCAAACAAAGGCTGAACAGAGGAACTTGGCTCTGGACGAAAGGACTTTGTCCAACATGCTGATGTCTTAGTACAAGCAACCCACCTCATCTGATCCAAATCTGTGCAGAGGCCCTTGAGTGAGCTTCCTGCATGACTTGGAAGCCCAAGGTGTTGCTCAGACTCAGGTGGGCAGAGGGTGGCCAGATCAGTGTGGCCTCCATTTGAATCTATTACCAAGTTCAGCCTGCGCTCTGCCAAAGCATAGAGATGAAGTAGGGTGGGGGGCCTTCCATGGGAGATTGCAGAATTAAAGCCTTTTTCTCCAGCCATCAGCTTCTCCTCCACCATCTCACCTGGCCCAAACAGTGAGAGAAACTTACTCAGAGCATGGCTCAACCCAGAGAGGGCTAGGCTATCTGGGATACCATACAAATTCCCAGGACAAACTAGGTACTCATTAACAATAACACAATCAAGACACTGAGTTTATTCATTCCTTATGTGCTCAACAAATATCCATTCGATCGATACCTACTATGTGCCAGGTGAAGTGTTAGGTGTTTTACATATCATACCTTGGTTCCACTGAGCAACCTCAAAGTCAGTGGCTGGTGCACAGTGGGTGCTGAATAAATATTTGTTGGATTTACTTATATTCAGCAGACTTACAGTGTGCACCTCCTGTGTATGAGACATTTTTGTGGTACCTTGGTTAATTAAATAAAAAGAGGAGCAAGCCTAGCCCTTGCTTTAAGGAACTTAGATCTGTTTAATTTGTGAACAATAGCATCTCTATAAGGGGGGAGAAGATGACGGTGAGGTAGGTGGGAGTGGAACCCAGTTCTCCCTGTGCCCAGCTGGAACACCTAGCCAATCTTCTGAGGAACAGAGTCAATAGCCAATGGAATCCCAGCTTATATGAAGTTTGGAGGCCAAAAATTGCAGAGGACATTGAAAAACAGGCGGTGAGGAGATTGCACTGGGATGGTAAGGTCCCTGGGATCTGCATGGGGATCAAGGCTGCTGCAGCCCCCTGCCTGGCACCTGCCACAGGATATGGGGAGGAGAGTTAGATCACCAAGATCACCAGCTCCCTCCCCAACCAGAGCAGGGAGGGCAGCCCCATATCAGGAGGGACCTGGATGGTGGAAGTCACTGAGGGGAATAGAGACAAAGTGGGAGACACATGGAGGTTGTACACATCTGCTGGGACTGTAGACACCTGCACCAGAGAAACTGAGGTGCCAGGTCACACCTGGAGAAGGGAGGAGTTGGGCTGTGTTGGACCCTGACTCAGTCTCTGGACTGGCTGAAAAGTTGGGCTATGAGAAAAGCCATGTGCTTGTTAAGAATGGAGGGCAGCTGCTTTCTAAGGAACTCTCAAGCAGTAGCTGGCTTCCCCCAAGTGAGATTTGAGCTGCACATGACCAGAGACTAAGTGGCTAAGTGGAACCACGCCCAAGCTGGTCTCATGATGCACCCAGAGGCTAAATGGCTGAGTGGGACAGCACACCCAAGATTGACTCATGCTGTGTGCCCAGAGACTGAGTGGCTAATTAGAGCCTGGCAGCTCAGGGACGACCTGGGCAGGAGGCTGCACAGCTGTGAATATTGTGGCCCAGACCTGGTCCCCATCCTCTCAAACCCATAGGAAGGAAGAAAAGCAAAGCCTAGCCCCACTCTTCCTGTGGCATCTAGGAAGACCAGCAGAACTCCCTGAATAGGTTTAAAGTCAGCATGAGGCTTATTTTTGTTCCTCTCTCTTCTTTTTCCATTTTTTCCCTCCCCCAAGTGGACAATAAGACTTGGAGTTACAAAGGATCCAGAGACAGATCCAAAGGGGGAGCATAAGGCTAAGACCAAAAATTGAGAAACTGAGACAAATGTCACTTTGCTATCCCATGAAGCTGGCATTTTATTGTTTATGTGTATTATTATTATTATTATTATTATTATTATTATTTCATTATTTTTACCACTTTTATTTTATTAGTTTTTTTTTATTTCTCTTCCTTGTGTTTAGTTTTCCTTGTTTTATTTCTGTGTTTAATTGCATTGTTTGGCTGGTTTTCCTTATTCTCTCTTTATTCTATTTTAATTTTCCTTCTTTCACTTCACCCATGTTCCAACAACACACAACTCTTGATCAGGTACTTAATATTCTGGTTATCCAAATCATATATTTCTTGTCATATTATTGTTGTTCCAGTACTATTATAAATAATTGTTGTTCCATACAACTGCACTACTACACAGCAACCCTCCCTGATCTTAGCCCACTTCACTTTATTCCTAAGCATTATTATTGTTGTGGTTAACTCTATTCTCTCTTACACTATGCCTACTTTCTATCCTTTAATCTTACTATATCTCATCATCTAACCTTGCATAAGAGCTCTATTTTCTGGCTTCAGCTCACAATCGTCCTCCCCTCTAACAAGCATCTTATCTCTCTTTCACCTTCTATAAAATGTGGCTGGTTGGGTAAAATATCACTTAATACTACACTTATCCAAAGAATATCCTATCGCTTCTCTACCTGCTGGTACTTTAAATCCCATAAAATACTCTCCCACTGTCTTAATCCATTTTGCCTACCTCCTGCCACTGATCACATACAAGAATAGGTGGGAGCTGTGAACATCAGTATACCTGCTGGAGGAGAGACACCACCACCAAAGGCACCACCAAAAAGTAAAAGCCCAAGTACAACAAGAGAGCTCATACAAACAGAAGGAAGAGAAAACCTAGAGCATCCAGACAAGGAGATTAAAAAGAACACACCACTGAACCACATACAATTCCTACCATAAAAATTCACCCTACAAAGACAGCTAGCAAAGTGAAACATCAGGAAGCACAGAAACAAACACCTAAGAGTCACCTAAAATGGGGAGACAAAAAAAGAACATGAAATCAAAAGGAATGAACTCTCCACTAAAAGAGCTAAATGAAATAACAGTAACCAAACTATCAGATACACAATTCAAAATAATGGTTATAAAGATACTCAAGGAACTCACACACAATTACAAGGAACTGAGTGAGAACTATGACAGCATGAAAAAGGAAATAGAAACAATAATCAGGAAGGAATGAACAATAAAATCTAGGAAATAAAAAGCACACTAGAAGGAATTATAAGAAGGCTGGATGAAGCAGGGGATGAATCAGTGAACTGGAGGACAAGATAGAAAAAAATACCCAGATAGAGTAAGAAAAGGAAAAGATCCTCAGAAAGAATGAACAGGTGGTAAGAGACTGCAAGAAAACTTGAAACATAATAATATCCATATAATGGGAATACCAGAAGGAGAAGGGATAGAAAACCTGTTTGAAAAAGTAATGATGGAAAACTTCCCTAATTTGATGAGAGAAAAGTCACACAAATCCAGGAAACACAGAGAGTCCCAATCAAGGGGAACCTAAAGAGGCCCACTTCAAGACACATCACAATTAAAATGGCAAAATTCAAGGAC